TAAAATATACTTCTGATATTTATCAAAAAGGACGGTGGTTTATCATTAAAGATTTTTCGAAGATGCTAAATAAACTATTTGAAAGGACTTTAGTGAAGTTACATGTGAATATAAACATTTGATTTTAGCATTTCAATCATTATGTTGTTTGAATTATAAGTAATAGGTAATAAGATATTTTACATTTGTCTTTGAATCAGTGAATTAGAGAAATCGGTAGAGAATGGATTAATGGCGCAAATTGACCTCCATAGATCTAATGTACTGTGAGTACATCCCTTTAAATCAATCAATGTCACTCAAGCAATAGGGAAGAAACGCATCTTTTAGCAGCATAATTATCATGTGTAAAATGCTCATTTCTTTGGGAAAATGTTGTAATATTTCGAAAGGAATGTAGGATGCAATAAACAAACCAACAAAAAAACTGTGTAAAGGGAGATAACTCACTCACACTACAACTACCTAAACTATACGATACCAATGGCTCATGGATTGGCGATTGCTTCGATTTATTATCATTTCCCAATCGTGACATACCTGACTGTCAAGCCCCAACATCAACAACATCAAAAAGAAGCAAATAGCCCAAAGCGGTGATACTGGTAATTGAATAACAGCTGAAGGATAAGCCAAGAACGCCAATCCTGGACCTTAACAATATAAATGAAAAATAAACTATTAGATACGATGGCTCACATACGACATATTTCACTTTTAATTTTGAATTAAAAACATTAATTATCACCTAGGTGAAAATTAAAGTTTTTAGTTAAAAATTACAGGAATATTCACCTAATTTTCACCTAGGTGAAAATAATTATCACCTGGGTGAAAATTAAAGTTTTTAATTCAAAATTAATTTTCACCTAGGTGAAAATTAATTTTCAACAAGTAAAAAAAAAGTTTTTAATTTAAAATAAAAAGTGGAAAATGTCGTATGTGAACCACCGTAATTAGAAGACCCGAAAATTTAAAACATCACTCCATGTTTTCGTTGATTGATTTCAAGTTCGAGAAGTAGCCATAAAATAAAAATCAATTAACATTAGTGTATATTCTGTAGCATCGTAGTTTCAGTAGATCAAAATCTTGCATATTCATGTTGGTTTATTGACTACAATATCAAAAATACTTTCCTCCTGCTGCTACTGAACTGATGGGTACACCCTGTTCTTGAGCCATGAAACCCACTACTGAGAAAATAACAAAACCAGCGAATATACTAGTTGAACTGTTTAACATTGATATTAATACAGCGTCCCTGAAATAATACATCATGGAAATTACTTGGAAACAGATTGTATTAAATACCAAAAAGCCAATAAATAAAAGATCGTGGATGTATGAGACTATAGACCTATTTTTGTTCCGTCGCGTCTTTCCAAAATGTACTTGTGGGGCAAAGTAAAGACTGCATGGTGTATAGCTTATATTTATATTTACATTAAACAAACTTACTTGTAAATATTATTATTATATTTATTATAACTTCCAAGAGCAATCAAAGACCCCAAACCCAGGCCATAGGAGAATAAAACTTGTGACGTAGCATCTACCCAAACCTGATGATGAAAACAAAATAAAGATATTAGGGAACCATATGATTAATACAGATTGAGAATATCGGGATACTGTTTTCTTTTTCAATCTTTTGAGCCATCGCGTCCCCTTAAAGATGAATGAGAAAATGAACAATTCGATATAAAAATGTAACTACTTTCGTCAAATGACGTCACTCCTTTTTTAAGGTAATACTGAACAGAGGATTATTCAAAGTTTGAAAAGATTCTAATCAGATTGTAACCATACAGAAAACTGCACATTTTCATCTATGAAATTCTGATCATGCTATATGTTACAACAATAAACTCAGTCCAAGTTAACATAACATAACATAACATTACCTTAGAATCAAGAAGTCTAGACATATCTGGTACAATATAAAATCTGATTCCTTCTAAAGCTCCAGGTAGGGTAACCCCTCTTATCAACAAACAGAATAATAGAAAATAAGGAAATAAAGCTGTAACATAGACCACCTGCAAAATATAATAGTTGTATCAGCAATACCCTATTTTACTCCAAAATAATAAACTGAGGAACCTACACTCAGTCCCGAAACTAATGGTACAAAAAGGGGGGAAACTCACTTGAGGGGGTACACTGTCGAGGTTGAGATTCTAAATGCGGCGGTTATGTGGTAGTGTCTCCCTAGGAGCGTCTGAGAGAGTTCACCCCGAGGACAAAACCCGAGTGTCACCATTGCTATGTCCTCGACCATGGTAACAATGCTTTTTAAATGCGTTAAAAATCAAAATTTTACTATACAAGAAACATACAAGAAAAACGTTACCTTTGTGAACATCGAGAATGAAAGATGAATATATAAGTAAAAAATATCAAAGTTTACCTTTCCGGTCCATTGTACACCCTTCCATATACAGAAATAACAGAGAACCCAGATAGTTAATAATGTTAAAGATAATTGCCATCTTAAAGTACCAGGATCATCAATACCAGAAGAGATCTGTAGCACATTGTTTCTGTAACATCAATATGTTATATAAAGGGTTCAGTCGATCAAATTGTAGCAACCTGTTTTAGTGAACAACGACAATGAGCATACCAGTTACATCTCTCATACGAAACTACGCAAGGGTCTTCATAATTTACATACAAAACAATTCATCCTGAATTTTCATAATTTCGTACAACTGCCACCAGAAGCGTGATTAGTGAGAGGACCATTGGCCATATGTTGATGTGAAATTTAAGCCGCCTAAATGCTAAAAATTAATTCCAGGTCACCTGAAATCCACTGGGTCCTTTGTGGCCTCTGACAGCCCAAGGCGCCTGGCTTAGCATTGCTTTAGCAATGTTGCAATACTTCTAAATTCTAATAATTTGCTTAATATCCGACCAAAGTACGGAAGCTCAAATACGACATAATTTTGTAGTTTTGAATTTCTAATTTGAAATTTGAATTTCTAATTTGAAATTTTAAAAAAATAATTTTGGATTTGAAATTTGAATCTTAAATTTGTAAAAATAATTTCGAATTTGAAAAAATAATTTCGAATTTGAAAAAATAATTTCGAATTTAAAAAAATTATTTTGAATTTGAAATTTGAAATTTGAATATTGAATTTGAAATTTGAAATTTGAAATTTGAATTTGAAATTTGAAATTTGAAATTTGAATTTGAATTTGAAATTTGAAATTTCAAATTTGAATTTTGGTATTTCGAATATGAAATTTGAAATTTGAAATTTGAAATTGGAATTTTGGTATTTCGAATTTGAAATTTCGAATTTGAAATTTAAATTTTGAATTTGTAAAAATAATTTTGAATTTGTAAAATAATTTTGAATTTGTAAAAATAATTTTGAATTTGAAAAAATAGTTTCTAATTTATTTTTTATTTTTGTGACTGGTGTATTCAAGACTATGAGAAAAGGCCAACATACAAGCCTGGTCACTCTGAGCAATGGTTTCTTATGGAAACTTCATTTTATTAAGCGACTGCATCGCCTCTTGTGGCTGGCTGCCAAACTTCGGAAAGGCCATATCCGGTACCTTAACTGCCTTGAATAAAACGTCGAAAATTAACGATTACAATATATAACTCCATTCTCATGTGGCCATGACAATCAAATTTGCGCCATCGTGGAATCTTGGGGTTGGTCAGACGTGATGCACTAATGGTAAAATGGGGCCGGGTAATATAACAATGCAATATGTTGCATGTGCCTGTAAAAAAGCAAGATTTCAGATTCACAAAATGAGTTACATAACTGGGTCTATGTTCATGTTCGGGGAATTGAAACACAAGGTCAAGGAGTCAAGGCAATTTTCGGATGACATTTCTGGCAGGGAAGTGTGTTTCTGATCACGGAAGGATTCCAAATTGATTAGTGATTTAAAGCTGATATATATATTTTGCTTTGACAAAATGGACAATTTCGATTTACCGACCACATGACAAAATGAATTGAAATGAAATGGAGTTTAACGTCCTACTTTTTTCACCCTTTTAGGCTAACGAGGCAAGGCCATGGCCATACAGTGTACATTAAGAGAAATTTTGCCAGGATAGCAGCATTAATTTACTCTTATTTTCGATTTGCAACTTGCACAGCCCTCGGTTTAATGTCCCATCCGCACATTTTCCTCTAACCTGTATCACTGATAGAGTGACAGCGGGTTGAAAAATCCGAAGGTATCATCTAGACCCATGCAGGGATGGAACCCTGGACCTTCAGATTAGCAAAAACGCCTCTAACATACTGAGCCAATGCGATTGTTATATGGACGTAGTATTTGAGTTTTAAACAGTTTTATTCAAAGCAATTAAGGGACCGGGCATGGGCTTTCCGAAGTTTGGCATCCAGCCGCAAGAGACGATGCAGTCGCTTAATAAAATTGGCGTCTCCATAGGAAACTATTTCAGTCAGAGTGACCAGGCTCGTTTGTATAGTATATATAGTCTTGAATACACCAGTCACTAAAATAGAAAAATTCAAAATTATTTTTTTCAAATTCAAAATTAAGATTTCAAACTCAAAATTATTTTTTCAAATTCAATATTAAAATTTCAAATTCGAAATTGAGATTTCAAATTCAAAATTATTTTTTTCAAATTCAAAATTATTTTTATAAATTCAAAATTATTTTTTCAAATTCAAAATTCAAATTTCAAACTCAATATTCAAATTTCAAACTCAATATTCAAATTTCAAGTTCAAAATTATTTCTTCAAATTAGAAATTCAAAAATACAAAATCATGTCGTATTTGAGCTTCCGTACAAAAGTCAAATCATCATTTCTCATATAAAATTGTGCATATACATGTACATTATGAATATTACTATCAGTTCAGAACAACAGCCCAACTTACTCCCAAAATTCTGTGACAGGTGAAACATATTTCTCTCCATTATACTGCTGTGAACAGTTAAATCCTAGACTTTCTAATTCTTCAACTGTTGTTAAGTTATTAGCCGAACTCATATTCACAGACAATGAATACGTGGCATTGGAACAACTAAAGGGTATTCTATATCGTTCATATTCAGACATACATCGCCCTGTATTCCACTCGTTATCACATGTAGACCATGGCAGAATGGAAGTAAATGAACTAAATAGGTAAAAGAGTGTCCATGATAATACCACAATATAGTATGTGTTCAACCAAAATGCCGCTATTGTTGCTGCAAACCCCACACCTGCAATTGGAATAAAAAACATAAAACAATGTAGTAAGTTCTCAACCTCTGTTTCGCGGGATAGTTTGACACTGTGTCTTTTACCATGTACTCTACCTACTTATCAGATATACACTGTGTCTTTTAACATGTGTTCTACCTACTAGTCAGATACACACTGTGTCTATACCACGTACTCTATCTACTAGTAAGACCTACACTGCATGGATACCATGTACTCCATCTACTAGTCAGACCTACACTGTATCTATACCATGTACTCTATCTACTAGTCAGACCTACACTGTATCTATACTATGTACTCTACCTACTTGTCAGACCTACACCGTATCTATACCATGTACTCTATCTACTAGTAAGACCTACACTGTATCGATACCATGTACTCTACCCATTAGTCAGAACTACACTGTGTCGAGACCATGTACTCTACCCATTAGTCAGACCTACACTGTGTCGAGACAACGTACTCTACCCATTAGTCAGACCTACACTGTGTCGAAACCATGTACTCTACCCATTAGTCAGACCTACACTGTGTCGAGACCATGTACTCTACCCATTAGTCAGACCTACACTGTGTCGAGACCATGTACTCCACCTATTAGTCAGACCTACACTGTGTCGAGATCATGTACTCTACCCATTAGTCAGACCTACACTGTGTCGAGACCATGTACTCTACCCATTAGTCAGACCTACACTGTGTCGAGACCCGTCGAGACCATGTAATCTATCTACTAGTCAGACCTACACTGTGTCGAGACCATGTACTCTATCTACTTGTAAGACCTACACTGTATCTATACCATGTACTCTACCTACTAGTAAGACCTACATTGTATCGATACCATGTACTCTACCCATTAGTCAGACCTACACTGTGTCGAGACCATGTATACTCTACCCATTAGTCAGACCTACACTGTGTCGAGACCATGTACTCTATCTACTAGTCAGACCTACACTGTGTCGAGACCATGTACTGTACCCATTAGTCAGACCTACACTGTGTCGAGACCATGTACTCTACCCATTAGTCAGACCTACACTGTGTCGAGACCATGTACTCTACCCATTAGTCAGACCTACACAGTGTCGAGACCATGTACTCTATCTACTAGTCAGACCTACACCCAGTCCGACAAATTTAGCCTTACCCGTTCCTCGGTAGTGATATACAAAGCTAAACCAATAATGAATCCCTGTGCCTCAATTCAATAAAGAGGTAGGGTTGACTTCCCGAGTTGCACGAGGAACGAAAAAGCTTACCCCTTGACTGCATTGTATTACTGGCTTACCTTTGAAGATAGGACTGACTTTCCATACCCCTAAACCGCCGACACTCAACCACTGTCCTAATGCCAGCTCCATAAAATACATAGGTACACCTACAAATACTGCTGTTAAAAAGTATGGAACTAGAAAGGCACCTAAAACAATCAAGAAATTCAATTAGAATTAATATTAGTAGTGGTCATCAAAACATTCAAGACCAAGCATTCAGCCAGTAGACCTCAAGTATTCGAATCAGAATTTAAGAATTCTTAATCAAATATCTTGATTTTAGATCTCGCTTAGATCCGTAAGCATATTAAGTTTGGTAAACATGAGTAAAAATTGTAGTCATATCACGTCCACAGGTTAATTTTGACGTACTTCGAATAGGTAAAGGGGAATAACTGGAAAACCCATTAGCAAACTATCGTAAAGGTTCTACTCATTTGAGATCTGATTGGTGCTCCGTAAAAAGTTGATCAAAACTCGTTCACATGACATCGTGACTAACTGAAAGATGTATTAGCGTTTAAAAAAAAGGCAATTGTGAAAAAACTTCCGAACTACACTCATAGAACCAACCATGCGTTCATTCGTTTAGTTAGTTGATCAAACCTTTACAAATCATTAAAGTGACTTTCATGATTCGAAGAAATATAACCAAAAAAAAGTTCTTTGGGCAAATAGGTAACTGTCAAGTTTTCAAATGTAGTCATTAGTTTCTAATTGTAACCAATTCTCTTCAGCTGTTTCCGTTAACAAGAAATCTGATTGGAAATTCCACCTTCCATCACTAGTCCATGCGTATAATTGCACCAGGCATGACAGTACTGGCTATTCTTCTTATGAATTACTGTTTGGAAGAAAGCCATACCTTGCTGTAGATGTCATCCTTGGAATTATTAGTCCAGATCTACGGAAATCATATAGTAAGTATGGGAGCGAGTTAAGACAGAAATTGGAAAGTGCTTACTTTGCTGCTTCAGAGGAAATCTCTAGATCCCAGGACCAACAGAAGAAAACATACGACCAGAAAGCCAGAAACTCTGTTTTAGAGTCAGGTGACCGAGTTCTTGTCAAACGCTTAGTTTTTAGGGATGGACGACACAAGATTGCTGATCGTTGGGAAGACAAGATCGTATTGTAGACAAGCCGAAACCAGATGTCCCAGTTTACGATCTGAAGGAGAACGGTAAGGGAACCACCAGAAGATTACATCGTAATCGCCTGTTGCCCATAGGAACTGTCCTTATGGATCTTCCTGAACCAGCATCCACAGCTCCAGTACCTAAACCAAGGCGAAAAAGAAGACCTGAATCAGAACCGGACCCAGAGACTCATGATAATGTCGAGGATATTAGTGATGATGATTTTGCAATTGCCTATGTGGAGAGGAATAGGTCTTTCGATCCTTCAGCTAGCCCCACAGTAGAGCTATCAGCAGATAAGGAATCACAGCAGGAGTTGGATCCAGTGGAGCCGCAGCTCCAAGAACCTGTTAGTGATGATAGTGAAGAATCACCCCCGGTGCTTCGAACATCAACAAGACGTCGATTACCATCTAAATATTCAGATTACGTCATGCAACAATCTACTGCACCTTCAGTTAGTTTTAGTGTTGTTGAGGTGTTTGAATATTTACAATCAGAGGGGTTTCATGGTTTGTCTGATAAGAATAGGAAGTTGGTTAGTGACGCTTTAAGGCATGCACATGGGTTTAATTTGTTTTGTTGTATTTTTTAGTTTCATGTCGAGACATTTTCCCATAGGGAGGGAGTATGTGGCAGGGTGCATTTTTAAAGAAAACTTGGTTGTTTTATTTAATTGTTGTATTATCTTAATGCACCACTACTGTTTTAATGAGCACATAATTACCTTACACTGGTCTAATACTAAAGTTTAAATTATTGCCCTCTCTTATTCTCTTAACTTAACTGATCTCACTGGACCTTGTCATTTCTGTCATTGGTCAGTTTAGTGAGCTTTCAGTGAGTTTCATCACATATCCAGTCAGAAACTTTACTTTTATCTAAGTCTTTAAAGACTTTGGGTTAGTTTTACTTTTTACATTATTTTATATTTATTATAGTCCTTTGCATAAGTTTCCCCATGGTATTATACATCATTTCATATTATCTAGTATTTTCTATAAGTGTAAGTAGATTATGTGCATAGATAGATATAAAGTTTTACTGTGATGATAATATACTGTGATATTTGTTAAGATATATTTTGTTGTATATTTGTATTATATATCTAATTGTATGTTATTATTATTGCAGGGTTTTAAGTTATAAACCTGAAGTTATATCGTTTTCCCCCTCTGAGCTAACCCGGTTACATTTTTGGCGCCCAGCGTGATTTGATGACGTCCAACGATAGAGAAGAAGAGGAGTGACATTAACTTTCATTTGTGTTTATCACAAATTACGTTTTTTGGATTGTGATTAGTGTTCATATTTTTTAAAAATGCACCCTGCCACATTCAGAGGATTGGTAAATGATTAAATTACGTTTGGCATGGGTCAGCGACCTAGATGTGAAAAACCTCAACAAATTTCACACATTTTAAAACTTTTTTATTAGCATTGGTAACTCTTTCATTATGTGTTTGTAAAGCAATACAGATTATCTAAAATCTTTTTGTCATTGTGTATTTCTGAACTATCATCCTTAACTGAAGTGGCCATTCGATAGTACAGTATATGATTCACCTTTATTTCAAAACATTCCCCTCTTTCACAGAAAGTTTTGAACAAGCTTATATGTCATGAACATGACATCATGATATGGCAGCCAAACAGTTTCAATTGACAATATTGTAAGATATTTTTTATGGCAAATGCTACTTTCCTCTTTAGGAAATTAATAATGTGATGATTTCAAAGTGGCGAATATTTCTGGTGGTTGCACATGTGTAAATAATGATCACAGGAATTAAGCGATTTTAATTTCGTCTTAAATTTGAATATTGCATTGACTTTGATTAACCAAAAGATGTTTACAGCACACTTTCAGTGTAATCCATCGGAAAACATCAGAAGATGCTGATAACTTTGATGCCAATATCAATTAAAGGATTAAAACAGACCATGTGTTAGATTATAGGAAAATTGGTTTAACCTTTATTGAATATCTAAGAATCGTTAAACACGATCATCCCAGTCAAACAAATTTAAATAGGGTCGTCTGAAACTTTGCAAGCAGGCGTCAAAATCCAATATGGCCACCGGGTGATTGAGGAGAAGACAATATTTAACATTCAATGATAAGTATAATTTGTAATTGAGCTAGTAGGAAACGAGGAGATTTAATCAAAAGAAATCGAATAACTAGTCAATAATGAAAGATTTTATAAATATTTACAGTAATTTTGATTTTCTGACAGCTGGAGGTAATAGTGATTCTCTTCGTACATTGACCCTTTTTACACTGACCAACTACCACAGGGACTAGTTAAACCTAAGGGGCCTCAACTTCGAGAATTCTTCCATTAACAGGCATTAAGGTGACTTACAGAGGGATCACAAAATGCAGGAAAACTTATGTTACAAAAATTCCACTCAACCCAATTGAGTTCAGGGTCCCCTAATAATGATAGCAAATTTTTTCTTTGTAAATTTAAGTCAATGCTTTGCACTATATGACATCTTATTTAAATTAAACAGCGATTGGGAAGATATTTCTCCGGTATAAAGGTAACCCAAGACATTGCATGGGACAAATTAACGGTGCAAATAGAAGCTGTCTGTGTTTCTGATATACCTACAGAAGATACATTCTAATGAATATCTCGGTTCAGGATCTGCAGTGAAAAAGGCCTAAAACAGAGTTCAAGTTTTGTTGGTTATTTCCATTAATAAGTAAACATTAGTCAGAATAGTTCGCAATAGATCACGCAATAGATCCATGAAAACAAGTCAAAATTAAAGATTTAATATGCCGTACTGGGCGTGAACCGCCACCATTAGTAAAGCTATGTTAAAATTTCCGGTATGTAAAACAAAAGTTTCTGCAAAGCTGAAATAGTTAGACTAGGGTCAGTAACACTTGATAACCTACTGATAGTTTGGTGTCCTAACCGATCCCAGAAAATTATATACAACAAAACTTGGCACATGCATTATTTCTGTCTAAATAGTAAAAATAAATGAAAATGAAAACGTTTTTTGTTTTTTTTTTGTTTACCATACGGACACGTTTGTTTTTTCTGTTATTCTAAATTTACACATATTCTTGTGATTCCGATATAAACTAACAATAATGATGGGTTTTGTGATGCCCTGGATTTATCAGTTCGGTCAACTAACGTGACGAAAATGTAAATTGAGTACAATCATTCTTTGAAATATAAAGAAAATACCTACCGCCTCCATTTCTATAGCATAAATAGGGGAATCTCCAAACATTTCCCATTCCAATACATTGTCCAACACATGATAAAACAAATTCCGTTTTTCCACTCCATGATTCTCGCGGTGGTTCATGGTTGTCTTTGATTTCTACTGTTCTTGGGAGTGTACTGGTAGCACCTTCCGAATTAGTCATTGTTTGACGATTATAATAGTCATTTAATTCTAATGATTCCTTATTATCTTTATCCATTATTGTATATTTTCTACTTCTAGGATAGAATGTACCTATTCTAACTTTTAATCCATGTAGAACACTGACATTTAATTCGAACCAATCTTTCACACGAAGAACACGCTGTGCACAATGCCTTCATTCAATAGTTTACCACTAACATATCCCCAAATCAAATCCCACTAAACAATCCTTCACTTCGCACAGTTTACCTAATCCTTAAATCTAATATTCCAGATTCTCTTTCCACAACTGCTTTTCGATTGTCCAATGTAGTAAAAGAAATTGAATTCCTGTTATTATCATTGTCGATAGGAAACTGTTAGTTGATCGATGATTTCCTATTGAGACGACTTAAACAATCTGGTTCTTTTTGGAAATTTAATTTAGAACTAAAAAATTATCAACTGTCATATCCAATCATGCTAGAAACGAATTTGATTAAATTTGACCGTAATATTTTGCTGTTGTGCAAGTGGTTGATGTTTGAAATATTAAACGTCAAAAGATGATTGCAGTAGAGAAAACTAAAACTTCTATACAATACATCTAGATTATTGTCATCAGTTCAATGTTCTAATAATAAAACATGTTACCACTGGTAATCCTTCTTACTGACTACTACGAATATCATACACATTAGAGAGACACTAACATGATATATAAAATGGTCAAATGAGATAATTACTTGAGCGAATAATGATGCAGAATTATAAAAATGATACAAACATTATCATCAGGCTTGTGCAAAGTTACAAAATAACCAAATGTTGGGACTGTCAGATCTTGACCTCTTCCTCGGTCCTGTGAAAGGCCTTATTTTGAAGAGAAAATTACACCCTCTAAATGCTAAGAATTCATCTCAGACCATCTGAAATTCTTTGACTTCCGGGTTTCCTTTGGCAGCCCACAGAGCCCTCAAGGGGCCCACCACTACTATATAGATCAAAATTATTATATATTGTATAACCAGATCAATTCATGTTTCATGTTTGATTAAACAAATGCAAGAAGCAGATTTGTTTTATTTGTCAGTTCCCTACGCGACTATTGATGCTTGTGTCTCATATGACTAAAATGTCAACAGGGGGTGTGTTTGACACGTAACAGAGTCAACCATAAAAGAATATTTGTAAAAAAAATTCAACTATAGTTATTATTTGGAAAAAATGTTTATGCATTATCAAGTATCATTTTAATCTACAGAATACGATGGGAGATATCATAAAAAACTAATACTTAGTCGATTTACGTCTTAGTCTGTATTAGGCATTTGAATATCATGTGAACATGATCTTGAACATCACTGAAAGAGACAGGTACGTCATAAAAAAAAAATCGTACGTTAGTGTCAGAAGCGGGAAGCCAATCAGTAATAGTGTTCGCAGCTCACCGTCGAAATTCGAGCCTTCAAATCCATGTGTGTCCGTGTGTCCGTAGGCACGTTTGAAAGTTAATATGACGAGTCATATTTTTTTGAGACACTGCCATAGAAATAGAAAAGACATAGAAATAGGAAAACAAATTCTTAGTTTGAGATATGTTTGAAGGAATTACATTTTTTTACATGACCGTTTTGAATTTTCTTAATACAATTTTTACTGTATGCGATTTTCATAATTATATTCAAGACTCAAATCAACCACTCAAAATGGCGCATCTATTCCTTTAAAGGATAACTGAATTAGTCAAAATGAATGTTTATCTAAAATATGGATTGTATTGAAATTATAAAATGTGTCAAAGTCAACCCGTTTTACCTTATATATATTTTTGTTTTCCTACAGTATATATTTATTAGGATAGAATGATAAATGAAATATTAACTGAGATAATAGATTGGTAGTATCGTTCTCACATTCAATTATAAGAATTACCCCCAGTAATTGACTCCAATAAACCCACTAGGTCATATATTATAGTTAACTTTCAAACATGACATTTAACATGTACCCTCCCTATATTAACCATGACCCATCATAATAGAGTATATTGAATTAATTGTACAATAATAATGATGTTGATTATAACAATCGTGTATTGTCCAAAATAGAGGGAATCCATGTTTCTTCTGTATTATTACGAAAAGCCTAGAATTTAAATGCAAACGATTAAGTCTGAAGGATTCGTTAATCAACGACTGCACATTTCGTTTTTGAAAAAATCCCCTCCGTCTCATGTATTTGTTTCTGTATTGTACTTAATGTCATAGAAAAATATTACCCGCCAAATCAAATCATTGTGTAAGGTGTTGATAAGTTGTTCGAATCTCGTAAGAGAGAGTGTCGAGGCTACAGATCTATAGATCTGTTTCCCCTTTCTTCAAAACTAGCTCTCATTTTCACAGGATAAATACAAAAACAAAGCCATTTTATTCCTTTGCGAGGTACGAATCCATTTAGGGTCAACAGGAGTAGCAGACTGCTTAACGAAAATTAATTCTGGTTGCTATTTTTTGGAAATACGGGTTTCTTCGTGGATAGGGCGCATGTAAAATAACTTTTGTCCACATAGTATTTGAAGCTGATAATTTTGTGTAAAACGTGAACTTAATCTTGGGTATCGATATCATTTATACGTCTCCTATATCTTTGGTCGAATCAGTCATTTTATCTCAAATAAATATCTATAGAGATCTAAATAGTAATATTTGGTACTTGAAAATATGAAATCGAACCAATAAATAAAAACATGGTGTAAAATACCAAATTAGAATATCATAACGAACGTTGTTGGCGTGTATGAAATGAACAAATCACCAAAAAAAAATTTCAAAAAATTATATCAACCTGTGCCTGAATGCATGTAGATATATGTATTTGATTTAAACTAGTCAGACATTGCAATTCACATTAGTCAGATATAACAAGTAACTTGAGATTTCATTGAAGCTAGTCAGATATAGTAAGTGAAAGTAGGCTTCAATATGTAGATGAAGTTTAAATCGGTCAATAAACATTTGAGATGAATTTGAAAATTTCTATTACACAAGTAGATTTAAGTAAAACTATTCAGATATAGTAAATGTATATAAATATAGTATACATGTATAAGTAAATTTGAACTAGTCCGATATAGCAAGTGAAATTTGATTCCAAAGTGGCAAGGCTTTGGTAATTTGGTACGAGAATAGTAGTATACATGTATATGTAATTCAAACTACAATAAGTTAATTTCACTGTTGAAATAAACTAGTCAGATATAGCAAAGTGAAAAGTATACATGTAGATGTAATTTAAACTGGTCAGATATAACAGGTAAGAGTAACATATATGTAAATAATCCACATTCTTCAAATATTATACAAGTTGGCGTTCTATACATGTATAAGTTACTTAAACTAGTCAGATATGGCAAGTGGGAGTAGTATACGTGTAGTTTTGAATTTCAACTAGTAAGATATAATACGTGAGAGTAATATACATGAAGACATATTTTAAACTAGTCAGAAGTACCAATAAGGAGTAGGATACATTTAATACATATCAAAACCAGTCAGACATGGGAATTGGGAGAAGTATATATTTATCAAATATTAAAACTAGTCAGATATAGCAATTGGGAGCAATATACAGTTGTAGAAGTATTCAATGTAGTCAGTGTAAATGTAACTGTTATCTAGCTATTCAGTTACGGACTAGAATAATAGAAAATGAGTGATATGTTAAATATCAAAACTAGTCAGATATGGCAATTGTGAGTAGTATATATTTATTAAATATTTCAACTGGTCAGATATGAACATTGGGAGTTAGTATACATGTGTATTTATTTTAAACTAGTCCGAAATAGTACATAAATGTAGTTTACATGTATACATATTTTAAATTAGTCAGATATGGCAATTGGGAGTAGTATACATGTAGATGATGCATTTCAATGTAGTCAGTGTTACTGTAATTCTAGCTATTCAGGTATGGACTAGAATAATAGAAAATGAGTGATATGTGAGAAAGTTTAATATTCGATCTTTTACACTAGAATGTCTAGCGAGAGATTAATTGAATTGTTAAGTAATTTAAGAACGATTGAGAATATCAACAAGGCGAGAGTTTCATCTTAATGTTAAGTGTCAATAGAAGATTGACAAGTTAGAGTTAATATCCACATTATTTCGCTAGTAATATTTGAAATCTGTGAACAGCTGGCAAAAGCTTTATTGATATAGCGAAGAAGAGAGGTTTTGTCTTTACTATTCCAGACAAACTTGAGTAAAAACATTCTAATATTATCTTTTACCTCATTGTTATTCTAGCTAACATTGTCTCGATTAAATTAACACCTTATTTTAGGGACGGTTCCAATCTAATGTTCAATCCAATATACTGTCAAATTTGCAATTATAAAAATTCAGAAATACATATATTAGGGACGCGTCTAATTTCTGATTGTGGTTGTAGGTATAGGTCAATGGTCGCGAAAAGTCCAACAAGTTCACGAATCTTTGTATATAGCTTGGACTGTTGCGAAAGGGTGGAACGTGGGTATTAAATGGATATCAAACTAATGCCTATAACAGTACTTTATCAACCAAATAAAATCAATACGAACAATAGCTCAATTCTATGGCAAATTGAAAAGATTACGAAATATTAGCTACGCTGGGCATTGTTGGCCCTCAAGACGGATTATTTCTATTTTAGTAAGAAATGCATCTTAGAGAAACCCATGTGAAAAACATGTCACTAAACCCATATTCAAGCCCCAGTCACAAATTATAATCAAATTTAAATATTGTACTTCAGCGTTTCTGGTGTACATCTATCTGCTTTTATAGAATATTATTCACTTTCAATTGAACAAGATGAAGCTCTATTTATTTAATATGTTTGTACTTTTGGTAATGGAAATCGGGATTGTTCTTTCAAATTCTTGCGAACATGAACTCCACTTATTACGTCATACACTTCATCTTTCTTTAATTCATTCCAGCAAAATCTCTGTTCGAGGTTGTATTGAAGGTCTTCTTCGGAGGGATACGGGAACATCTTTAAAGATAAAGGAATAATATTATAATTTTAATATTCGTTAGTCTCCTGTTTTATAAATGCCCAATTAAACATTTTATTTTGTTCGCAGTATATATTTCGTTGTTTCTGGAAACTTTAAGATATTTCTCATACCTACCATTTCTCGTAGTTTAGTAAGAAAACCATGTGATGCGTGTTGTTTGTAGAACTTTTTGTGAACCATGATACATTCAACACCTCGACTTACTAATATTAATCTTGGCTGATCTTCAAAAAATAAATCACTTATACCCTAGAAAGGAAGCAAATGGGTGATATCAAATTATATAACACATTTTTGTGATCTTGAAAGATCCTAGAATTTCAAATGGGCGAATAAATCTGTTACCGTATTTTTCGAAAAATAAAAAGATGATACAATTGATACTTACGAAGACGTCACCTCTATTTAGGTTTTGTATATTGACAAATATTGGAATGTCTGGTGGTGTTATCACTCTCTGAAAGGTGTACAACGAATTTATAAATGAATCCGGTAAGTTGATATTTGTTCCAATCCTAATTGAGCAAATTAACAGTTGGACACAATATCAACAATCAATTTGTTTTAAAAATAACGACAGGTCCGAATACAACAAGATTTGGGCTTCGTGACGGACTTGTTTCCATGCCAAGTGTTGCAATTCGTCCGTTTTTTAGAATTTCAAAATTATTAAATTTTATCCACTAAATTTCTTGAATTTGTATCCAAATTAAAGAACAGGATTTCAGGCTTCATTACCACGATAAATCAATAATATATTGTAGAAAATGAGAATTTACCTTAATTGGTGAGGGGTTAGAAAGATGAGATAATTCAGGTGTTCCTTTTTTTATATCTATAGGTTGAAGGTGGTCTCCATTTCTACTATCTACAACTATCATCAAGAAAGAAAAGTTTCATAGCATTGTGGAGTTGTCAACGCAGAGGGGCAGCCGTCTAAAGTGGTCTACTTCATTCAATAGAAGACATGAATTAGTTGAATCATTTATGAAAGCTGTTTACTTTTATTTCTTATGTCCTCTAAGATTAACCGACAAGAAGACAATGTGTGTGTGATATTTTGTAAACTAGATAAAATTAAAAACAAATTCTACCTGATCCATGTATTTCTATAGCACTAGGGTGAGATGAGTTAGAACTAAGATATGGTCTCTGAAATGAACAAAGGGAAACTGGCACCACTATTCCAAAATCACATATCAAAATAAATCTTGTTGCCATGTGAGAATATTTTTCTAATCTAAGTTATAAACAAAAACATGCCTTTAGAAGTATTATATAGGTCTAAAGTTTTCACCTATAATATCATAGCGTACCTTTTGTAAGAGGTTTCCAATATTCGATAAGCGACCACTAGCTTCTATTCTGATCTTAGAGTCGTGTGATTTTCTGGATGAACCTTGTGATATTTGTAAAACTCTATCATTTCCTTCTTCAACTCTATTTGATTGCTGAAAAACAAGGAATAGGATAAATATTTTGCTTAAATTTCTTGATTTTTATCAAACATCTCCACGCAAATGTTAAAATATTAGTGTTGTTCCTTTATCTTTAGTGGTCTCCGGAAAACAGTGCAAATACTTTTCCCGTTTTTACATTTTCATATTTACCTCAACAAACCTCTCGTCATCTTGTTTTCCCTCGGTTAATGGTTTCAAATCAACCCGTTGTTGTTGTTTATGATGTTGTTGTTGATGAAGCTGGATGTTTTTATCATCATAAGCTACTCTGATTTTCTCTTCGTGACTGATTCCAGTCTTAGTCTCTATTTCTAAGTCATCCTTCACTGAAATAGTTTTTCCAAGGTAAGCTATTTTGTGAATATGATGAATTGCAAATTTATTTGTTTGATATATACACTGTAGTAAGCCCAGACAATTTATTTTTTTCTCTAATAAAGAGTGCATTAAAATCAGATATTACTTCCAATTTGAGTATATATTTTGATCTGATGTTTAATATGGAAGTAATGAAGTTGGCATTCAATACCAACCATCTGAAAAAAAACAAATTGAAGTTGTGAGGAGTTATGGATCGTAGAGTTTAATACAACCGACCAAAACTATTGAACTATTGAATATATCATTTTTAGGTAGTAATACTCTGGTCGGTTGTGATATCGATGCAAATACTAATCTAAATGGAAGCATTAGTGCGGATTCAGTAAAATGGTATGTACCAAAACACTTCTAAAAGTTTTGTAAAGAGGTTTTCTAAAATCTTCATGTTTATTGGGGACATTGATAGCATCAATTGGCACCATACCTAGTTTCAATCGGGTGTCTTTGGTACCTGCAAAGCTCAGTGTTAATGACGTCACTAATCACGAAAAGCCTTATATGATGGAGCATATTTTGTGATTAGTGACGTCATCAAACACTTATCTCCAAGATACAATTACAAAGTTTTAAACACCTCTTTACATCCCCTTTAAAGCTCACATTTTACTCTCCAGTCTTTGGGTTTTTTTACTTTGACTTTGATGGTTTTACTAACATCGACTTTCTTTAATATCTTCATAACGTCACAAGTTCCCTAAAACAAATAGTGTAAAGTTATCCATATAATTAAATGGTGGGTTATCATGATAGTAATCAATGATATAACATAGTCGTATTACTTTTCAGAATATAAATTAGATGTATGTTGATCGTGAGAGTAGACTGTTTCCACTTCACTTTAGCAGGCCTAACATTCATTACATAATTTAGAATTTGAATAACCCTTGTTCACTGCCCATTGGTCAAATTTGGCGGTAATTTGAGGTGAGATTGTTTTCTTAAATTCTAAAAATCCTGATATCTGAAATTTTGGTAATGGAAGTATCTATATCTCGGCAGCTTCCATAAAATCCCAAACTCGTCTTAATAGGCAAATAACTTACAGATTTTATTATAAAAACCCAATCATTCTTTAAACTATCTTTAACTAATACAGTTCCTCGCCTAAAAACAGAAAACTGAGAATTTAAAGAGATATATAACCTTCTATCCAATGATAATTGTATGTCAATGCCATGATGAAGTCGCTGGTAGGTTAATTATTCTTAATTGGTAATAATCACTTTTATCACAATTATTGTTAATTAAATATAATAGTGATATAGTGTTAATAAGATTTATGATTTCAAATGACACTTACTTAAAATAGCTGAACATGACATTTTTAGAACCTTCAGTGTCCCCTAACCGTTCTATTGGCCAACCTTTAAAACAAGGGATTTTTCTGAAATAATAATATTTAAATGTAGCCCGGCAAATCTGGCCATACCCGTTCCGATTCTAACCACAATACAGTCGAAGGGAAGGTGTTCCCCTCTTCGTAAAGCAACTCCGTAAGTTAGGGCTAGGGACTGTGTTGTGGTACCGGGTGAGGCACAGAGACATTGCAGAATATCCATTAGTGTATTGATAGATTCATGTCGTGGTGAAAACTCTCAAACATTAGCGATCCAAAAAATGGACCAGGGTAATTCCCATAAAATTTGACCTTTTGAATCTAGCCCTAACCGTGACGATATCAAATCCGTATATCACATCCGAGGAATAGGTAAGGCCTGATTTGCCGGGCCAATTTCAATGATTGTCAATTCCTCCTGACAGCAGCGTTCTTTGGTCTTGAAGTGCAGTTGAAGATGGAATTTCAGACAAATGGCGACAGTGGACAATACTTTGTTTTCTATGACAATGAATGAGATATAAAAGAAGATACAAATCCGCTAACAGTAAATGAGATGGCTTACCGTAGAAATTGTTCGTTTGGATCTTTCATTCCACCAGCCATAAAAATCTCTCGAAAATCCTACCGGAAAAAGAATACAATATTCAAATTTTCAGAAAATAAGAAAATACCCACAGCGGCTATATACAATAGTCTTATTAGATCCCTTCTATTCCATGGATACCATGTTAAAAGCCAACCCATGTAGGGCCTGCAGACAGTAAAATTGTCCTCTTACAACTATTTAGCAAGCCAGTTACAGATGGAAATCGAGGATTCGGTTCGAAACAACGGACATACACTTACATAGTTTGATAGAACTAATAGCTCAACTGGTTCTTTAGAAATTACAGAAGCTTGTCGTCTAGCTCTATTTACCATAGCCAGTTCACCAAAACTATCTCCTCGTTTAAGTACCAATATAGTCTGTGCTAGTTGTTTGTCTTCATCCATACCGGAAACCAGAGCTAACAAGATCAACATAAATGACAGTCACATTTTGAAGTCAATAAATTCAGATGATATTCTCCAGTCATCATGAATGTATACTGGCCACTTAATGTCAAAGGTCAGATTCCCTTACCACCCTAGAGTTATAAGACTACGAACACTTACCAACACAGAGACATTAGATCTCATGCCCTTTCCACCCTACAGTCATTAGACTACGCAACCTTACTATCCTAGGTCAAAATATCACATACGGTACCCTTAAGACAAAGATCACACTGCATTACCATCCTACAGACATAAGATCACATACCCTTACCACCTTATGTCAAAAGGTAACATTCTTTTAATTGGACCACATTCACTTACCATTCTAGAGTCATAAGACCATTCATTTCATCCTTATACCATAGGGTAAAAGGTCACATTCCTTTTCTGCCTCAGAGTCATAAGATCCCTTAACTTGTCAGCCTTCGTATCTTATAATGTCAAATTCACTATCTATCCACAAAAAATAAGACCACATGTATTTCCTTACAATCCTAGCACATGCCCCACCACTCTACAGACATAAGACCACATACTTTTACCACCCTAGATACATGGTCACATTCCCTTACAACCCAAGGTCACGCCCTAGAGAGATAAGATCTTATTCTCTTACCATCCTAGTCATTAGACTGTTACGCTTACCCTTAATGCCCTATGTCAAAATGCCACATATCCTTACCGCTCTAGCTCAATAGGTCACATTCCTTTACAACCTCAGAGTCTTTCCATCTACCACCCTACAGTCAAAAGACCACATATTCTTACCACCCTAGAGACATAAGACTACTAATTAGCTTACCATCTTAGCGTCAATAGACCACCGGGCTGAACTTAGCATACACATTCAACTAGCATACAGATTCGGGTCGAATCGCCTCAGCATACACATTCGCAGCAAATCGATCCGATATGAAATCTGAATTATTTCTAACTTAAATATTGTTAAAATAACTCAAATTTTTTTATGACAAATACACATAAGAATTCTTTCAATTTCGCAAACACGTATATGTCTAACTCACTTAGTCTTTGTACTGTGGCCCATTTAATACATATTTTTTTTATGGAAGCTGAAACCTACCAAATTTAAACAGCAAATTAAAAGACTTAGCCGTCTTAGGAACTTTTTGAAATTCATACTATACTATCTCACACTAGTCCTCATTCGAAATATCAAATCACTAAGTTGCTGTCTCCCTTACTTTTTGTACGGAGGCCCATTGAAGACACACTAATCGACATATATATGGCCTATATGAGTATGTTACTCAGAGTTTACGAGCAATTTGCGAGGCTTAGCCGTCATAGAAACTTTTTAAAATTTATACCATACTATCTCACACTAGTCCTCATTCGAAATATCAAATCACCAAGTTGCTGTCTCCCTTACGTTTTGTAAGGAGACCCATTCAAGACATACACCAATCGACATCTATATAATCTATATGAGAACATTTTCCAGAGTTTACGGGCAATTTGCGAGTCTTAGCCGTCATAGGAACATTTTGAAATTTTTACCATACTATCTCACACTAGTCCCCATTCAAAATATCAAATTACAAAGTTGCTGTCTCCCTTACTTTTTGTACGGAGACCCATTAAAGACATACAGCAATCGAAATATATATGACCTATATCCGAATATTACTTAGAGTTTACGGACTATTTGCGAGGCTTAGCCGTCATAGAAACCTTCTGAAATTTATACCATACTATTTCACACTAGTCCCCATTTCAAATATCAAATTACAAAGTTGCTGTCTCCCTTACTTTTTGTACGGAGGCCCATTAAAGATATACACTAATAGACATAAATATGGCCTATATGAGTTTACGGGCAATTTGCAAGTTTTAGCCGTCATAGGAACTTATTGCAATTCATACCATACTATCTCACACTAGTCCCAATTCCAAATATAAAATTACAAAGTTGCTGTCTCCCTAACTTTTTGTACGAAGACCCATTAAAGACATACACCAATCGACATATATATGACCTATATCAGAATATTACTTAGAGTTTACGGACTATTTGCAAGGATTAGCCGTCATAGAAACCTTTTGAAATTTATACCATACTATTTCACACTAGTCCCCATTCCAAATATCAAATCACCAAATTGCTGTCTCCCTTACTTTTTGTACGGAGGCCCATTAAAGACATACACCAATCGACATAATTATATATAACCTATATGAGAATATTACCCAGAGTTTACGGGCAATTTGCGAGTCTTAGCCGTCATAGGAAAATTTTGAAATTCCTATTATACTATCTCACACTAGTCCCCATTTGAAATATAAAATCACTAAGTTGCTGTCTCCCATACTTTTTGTATTATTCTACATAGTCCATATTAATGTCGATGAGTGTATATCTTTAATGGGCCTCCGTACAAAAAGTAAGGGAGAAAGCAACTTTGTAATTTGATATTTGGAATGGGGACTAGTGTGAAATAGTATGGTATAGATTTCAAAAGGTTTCTATGACGGCTAAGCCTCGCAAATAGTCCGTAAACTCTAAGTAATATTCTGATATAGGTCATATATATGTCGATTAGTGTGTCTTCAATGGGCCTCCGTACAAAAATTTCGAATGAGGACTAGTGTGAGATAGTATAGTATGAATTTCAAAAAGTTCCTATGATGGCCAAGCCTTTTAATTTGCTGTTTAAATTTGGTAGGTTTCAGCTTCCAAAATAAAAAATTACGTATTAAATGGGCCACAGTACAAAGACTAAGAGAGTTAGACATATACGTGTTTGCGAAATTGAAAGAATTCTTATGTGTATTTGTCATAAAAAAAATTTAAGTTATTTTAACAATATTTAAGTTAGAAATAATTCAGATTTCATATCGGATCGATTTGCCGCGAATGTGTATGCTGAGACGATTCGACCCGAATCTGTATGCTAGTTGAATGTGTATGCTAAGTTCAGCCCGGTCAATAGACCACACATCATTACCACCCTATAGACAAAAGAACAACCTTGGAGTCATAAGACTTCTTACCACTTACTAGTGCAATAAGACCACTTACCCTTACTCACTAGAGTAGTAACATAACATATTCTTACCAACCTAGAGTAAAAAGATTATATACCCTTATCACCCTAGAAAATCCTAAAAGATATACATACATTATGCATATATGAGCGACGAGGTAATGCTATGTTTACACTATGTTCCCGGCGGCCACGGTAATCAGGTTTCAGATCATCGTGGGAAAATGAGAAGAACTTGAGACAAACAGTGGTACGGGATAGGCAACCTCACAGACTGCAATTGCCGTGAATGCTAGCCAAAATTTTAAACTGTCAAAAAATTTGCCACGGCAACCATGGCAGCCACGGTCGTAGTAAAACGGGGTAAACGCTACAAAATGTGACAATACGTTAAGAGATCGTTACAAAACGCGGAAGTGGTTCGTAATGGAACGGGGATCGTATCTATTCCCTGGCATCTGTGTTCCGTTCTCACGGAAGCTGGGATGAACGAAAGTCGTTTTCGTTAAGTTTCAATGAAGGTGCGGCCTAATGTGTGACGCTTTGCAAACCGGGGCATTACGGTACGTTCAGTTCTGCTATGGTCTGACACGGTGCGAGCAGTCTTGAAAGGTGTATGGAAAGGTCGAGCCAGGCAGGAATTTGCCGTTTTACCTAAACGTATTGTCTTCATATCCAAGTTTTGTTAAGTTGCGCTAAGTTTCCTCACGAGCACGAGTACCATGTCATGTCCATGTTGCCGGGTACGTAGTGTAAACCTAGCATAAGAATTGCAACCTACCTGACCCAGATAAAATAAAATAGAACCCCATAGGTACGTGGCCTTCTCTTACTATCACACGTTTGGAGTCAAACCTAGAAAAAAATATAAAGAGATGATTCAAGAGGATTTGTTAAAGAAAGAATAAAATAAAAAACAAATACAAAGGATTATGTTAATTTTCATAATAATAAACCGTGATCTTGTTTGCTTTAGCCACCTGTAGGATTCTAAATTTGCAATTTAACACACATGCACGTAACTATTTTACGCTTTATTTTCTAAATATTAACTTTAATAATGTATGAGTACGTGAGTCACTCTCTTATGGAAAAGGTCGTTTTCTGTACTGTAATTGAAACCTTATTTTTCATTCCAACCAAACGCTAACCAAATCTACTTACTATGACAAAAGAGTCACAAAGATTTCATTTGCGGCATTCCCTTACTGTCGTTTTCGTTGCTGATTTGTTTTAGTTTGAAACTCTATGGACTCTCACCTAGCGACTTAGAAATATTGTCTAAATAATGTGATATGAAATCTATTTCTTGTTTCATTTTTTGAAAAATAGATGTACCATGCAGCTGCCTGAATTATAACCCCCCAACCACCCATCCATCTGAAATAAAAAATCATGTAAATTTCCCGTAATCTGATTTTATTTGGTTTTTGAGTTGGCGAAAATGCTTGCGTTACGGGAATATGGGGTTGTGAAACTCGAGTGTGATAAGTGAGATATAAACATAGTAAATATAATTTCAATGAGTAATTCCCCTCATTCTTTCCATCGATCACCTATTTTTATTTAATGAACAAAAATATCAAATGACTTGGGTTCATATTTCAGGCGAATTGAGGTCTTATTCTAGATTTAGAGGACAGTAGCCTCTGATTAATGATAACATGCAATGCAATTTACCACAATATCTACATATTCTTAATATCAAGTCGCTTTTAGGAAGTTGAAATTGGTACGAGAAATTGTCAATATTCCCTGGAACTAACAGCAACAGATGGTCGGTCTGAATCAATCAAGTCTGCTTATTGATCACGTGATGATCAATATAAGATTAATACATCTTGGAGAGGAGTTTGACAGATCGACAAGTTTTAGTAAAAAGGAAACAGAAATTAGATCTTATATTCTCGTTCCGTGATTGACTTTTTAAGATTTAAAAGCTTTCTGAAAATAAATCACCCACTGCTTTACAGTTAATCGTGCTCATTAAGTTATATTTCACCTTCTTGAGATATAATTATCATGGAAAGTGTCAAAATTGATCTTATGTGTCTACACTTCCACACGTGAAAACAATCGCAGAATTTTGTATTCTACCATGTGATGTGAAAACCTTTACTCTAAAACCACAATTAGATGCAACGGTTTACAAAAGGTTACCTTATTTCAGGTTTAGTTGTATCCATAACTACTTGCAGTTTAACATTCAGATGATGGGGTCAGAATAAAACGAAATGAAAAGTAAACTCGAGAGCAAAAAGAAAACTTACTCTTCATACCAGGCTTTCTCTGCTATCAATCGCTTCATTCTAGAAGGATAAGCGGCTATAGATTTGTAGTTCCCCAAAGCAACCTGTACCTAAATTAAAAGTGATATTAAGTTTACTTCTAGAATTGATAGGTATTATACGAAGTAACAAAATTGATAGGTATTATACGAAGTCAAAATTTTGAAAGGAAAAATAACATATCCGACAAGGTGTTATATTTCTCAAATCTTTAGTAAGTTTGTGAATAGTGAAATACCGGAAGCATTGCAATTTTGAGGTTCTGAAACCGAAAGTCAGTTTGTTGTTGTAAAGTAACGGAAGCCTCGGGAGAGTTTGTGGTTGTCAAAAACCTCTCGTCAGGTTGTGGTTATGAAGTACTGAAAAACTCTTGTCAGTTTGTGGGTATGGAATTGAAACCTCTTGTCAAATGGTGGTTGTGAAATAACGAAAAGCTCGTGTCAGATTCTGGTCAGATTGTAGTTTTAAATTGAAACTTCTAGTCTGTTGTGAAATAACCTCTTGTTAGTTTGAGGTTAAGAAATACCTGAAACTTCTATTACGATTTTAGTGTTATGAAACATCTTGTCAGTTTGTAGTTGTAATATAACGAAGACCTCTTGTCTGTTTTTGGTAATGGAAATGAAACCTCTTGTCAGTTTGTGGTTGTAATATAACAGAAACCTCTTGTCAGTGTGTGATTGTAATATAACGGAAACCCCTTATCTGTTTTTGGTAATGGAAATGAAACCTCTTGTCAGTTTGTGGTTGTAATATAACGAAAACCTCTTGTCTGTTTTTGGTAATGGAAATGAAACCCCTTGTCAGTTTGTGGTTATAATATAACGGAAACCTCTTGTCAGTTTGAGGTTGTAATATAACGGAAACCTCTTGTCAGTTTGAGGTTGTAATATAACGGAAACCTCTTGTCTGTTTTTGGTAATGGAAACGAAACCTCTTGTCAGTTTGTGGTTGTAATATAAAGGAAACCTCTTGTATGTTTTTGGTAATGGAAATGAAACCTGGCCAATTTGTGGTTGTAATATAACGGAAACCTCTTGTCTTTTTTGTTTTGGTAATGGAAATGAAACCCCTTGCCAATTTGTGATTGTAATATAACGGAAACCTCTTGTCGGGTTTTGGTAATGGAAACGAAACCCCTTGCCAATGTGTGGTTGTAATATAACGGAAACCTCTTGTCTGGTTTTGGTAATGGAAATGGAACCCCTTGTCAATTTGTGGTTGTAATATAGCGGAAACGGAAGTTTGTGGTTGTGGAATTGAAACATCTAGTTAGTTTGTGGTTGTGGAATTGAAACATATCTAGTCAGTTTGTGGTTTTGGAATTTAAACATCTAGTCAGTTTGTGGTTGTTGAATTGAAACATCAAGTCAGCTTGTGGTTGTGGAATTGAAACATCAAGTCAGTTTGTGGTTGTGGAATTGAAACATCTAGTCAGTTTGTGGTTGTGGAATTGAAACCTCTAGGCATCTTGTGGTTGTGAAATTGAAACCTTAAATCGGTTTGTTATAACGGAAATCCTTTGTGCTAGCGAATACAGACAATTTATGGTTGTAGAATGTCAAAAACCTGTAACCAGTTTGTGGTTGGGGAATTTCTAAAACCTATAGTCAGAATGTGGTTGTAGAATGTTTAAAACCTATAGTCAGATTGTTGTTGTAGAATTTTTAAAACCTATAGTCAGATTGTTGTTGTAGAATGTCTAAAACCTTTTGTCAGATTTTTGTTGTAGAATGTTTAAAACCTTTTGTCAGAATGTGGTTACAGACTAATGAAACCTATAGTTATGTGTTATATAAAACCTTAGGCCTATATATTTTAGGTTTAGCATATGCCTCGGATTGTTTCTGAAACCATATTTATATTTTGTAAAATATCATACATATAATCAATGAATTAAAAATGAGTTAAACCAATGCCTTAATACTGTCACCAGTTTGTAAAATGATCGCATCAGAATTCAGATCAGTGATTAAAATCCAAGGTCAGTTCCAAAAATTCACGATATACTCTAAATCATGGAACGTGATATCATTTTAAAAGCGTAGTGTTTACCCCCACTACTCCTTTATGCATAATAAACAATGGTTATATTAAGATATCATGTCTAATTGAATGCATTAAATCATTAACATTTATTTGTTTAATACTATGATAATCAGATATCAATTACATGTACAACCTGATATTAACAATTAACATATAGCTTACATATCGCAGTTCACTGGCTGTTCGTTCATTAGATCTCTTTCTTAAAATTCTCTTGGCTTCTAATGAGAGGGACGCCTGTAAAATATAATACAATATTTCATTTCATTTCATATAGGTCAAAATTATTGGCGTGTTAGAGGAAACCTAAATTCGACTATTGGCGCCCTAAATAGCTGCACGTGGATCGTTCACGTACCTTACTATTGGCGTCCTAGATAGCTATCTCACGTGCATCGTGAACTTAATTAACTATTGGCGTCATATAAAAGCTCACACACAGGTTCGAATTTTAATCGACTGACAACAACTGACAACGCAAAATACTTTCGACTCCGGCGATGTAAGCCTAAGGTTTGAAGACTTTCTGGACAACATGGTAGCCCCTGTGGATAACTTTAATTTAGAGCATTCACTTGACGTAGACCACATTAATTCGTCTGATGAAGAACTACTTCAGACCACTCAAGAATTTGAAGCAGGCAATGTTCAATCAACTGAAGAAGAGAGCAGAGTAGAGCAGAGTATCCCCCATTCACCAATTAAATGTTCGACAACAGGTAGATTTGGGAAACCGTTGTCCAAAATTGAAATGACCTCCTTGAGTTGCCATCAACAAAAATACAGAAAAAAAAATGTCAGTGGGCAGTGCGGATTTTTGATTCCTGATATGGAGAGCGACACGGAATTCGAAATAATATTGGTGAAAAACTTTTGGAACCGAATGACAATGACCTGTGTGATCAGTTATTATTGTTCGTGACGGAAGTGAAAAATCAAAGAGGTGGCGATTATCAAGGGAGTACAATTCACGAAATATTTAAAGTTCATACAGTTTTTTTTCATGATAGAAAATGGCCCAAATGGCGAAAGATATTAGATGCCAAAATGCGGTCCTTGGCACAAATAATAACGGGAGATCAGGAGGACATGCTCTGGTAACAGGGCCTTTTGGGTGAAGACACGCTACACAAGTTAATAGACACTGTGTTTATCTGAATGGGATCAACTTTTGTTTACGAGGCGGCAAAGAACACCACTCGTTAAAAATCGGCGAAAAATCAAATTTCAGCATCATACTACGGAATGGTGTAAAACATTTAATATATAGTGAAGGACTGTCAAAGACGAATAATAGCGGATTTTTACACAGAGATCTGACACCGAAAACTGTCGAAATTGGACCAAACCAAGAAAAACCAACCAGATGTCTTGTTCGGTTATACGAAAAGTATGTCTCTAAATTATAATAAATTGCTTAGTTTAAAGTGTAAATTCTAAAACATAAACATGTCTAAATAAATAACGAGATGTTGCACCGAATATGCGTACATTTTGGCTTCGAGTATAAAAGCCCCGTCAGCTGTGCGCCAAAAGGTAAGTTTGTTTGTAGTCCGGGTGACGATCTACATTCCAGTCAATCATTCATTGTGTAATATGTGAACCATTTATGTTTATGATTTCATAGTCTTTTCAGACCAAAAACCTGCAATGCCTATTACGTTCGACCATTGAAGTATCCTAAACGAGATACTTGGTACTGTGCTGTGCTAGTAGGACGCCATACCCTCTTTGGGGTTGTGAAGAGATTGTGTGCCAACGCTGGTTTTAATGGCTTCTATACGAACCATTCACTACGAGCTACCACTAGACTGTATGATTCTGGAATAGACGAACAGTTAATAGCCGAAAGAACGGGCCACAGATCGACTATACGGGGGTAAATATTCTTTTGTTTACGTGGATTCGTGAATTTCGAAAAGTGATTTTGATTCTTGATAACGCCGCCAATCCTTAAAAACCAATGCCATGGGATGTGTACTAGTTCCTATAACTGCACTTGATGATATAAGAATTCGCACAATCTGTGTCAAGTGCGAAATTGAAAAACACAACGAATTTCGCCTGGTGTAAAAGCGATCATTATTATTATTATTAGTTGTGAATGTATTTCATTTCAGGTACAAGAGAACCAGTACAGAGCTATTGAAAGTAGTAGATGATGTTGTCCAGGGAAAAAAGACTAGAAAATCCGCACCAACTAAAAAAAACTGCAAATGGATAAAACTGAACCCGTTAAACTGACAATGAAGCGCAATGGTGCGAAAATCATGGTCACTCTATGAATTTAGAATAAAATTCAAAGTGTGGTTTGTTTGTGTTTCACTATTGTGACTTCTAATTTCACTATTGGAGCCCTAATTTCACTATTGGAGCCCTAAAGTAATTATTGGAGTGCTAATTACACTATTGGCGTCTAAAGTATGACTGTCACTCATACTATTGGAAAGCAATTCAGGTTTAAGGTAGTTGAGTCACTGAATTAATTGTCAGATAGAAGTTCAGTTGGTTTGAGGAATATAGAGGAATATCCACGACCTCTGATAAGGTTAACTGAATAAAATAATATACTTGATAAGTGTCTGTGTAATCAAACTGTCGGTTGACTAATCATTATCCTCTTACATACTTACAACGATAGATTATCCCTTTAATTCCAAATTATCTCAACCAACAGAACATAACTTTAATCTTTCTAGTGTATTATGACATAGTTAATTTAGTTTGATCTATTAAATTGCTTCCTGATACGCGGTGTTCAAGGTTCAAGGGTTTATCTTGATGCTAAATGTTGTTTTCCTTCATTTTCATACGGATTCACATAATACAGTGCGATAAATGAAGACTTTTGTTCTTCAATACGACAGTGTTTGTAAAGAAACATTTGTTTTCTGTAACATTGGAAAGGATTCGGGCAATACTCTGATATTATCAGGATATTATGAAACTACCGTGATGGAAACAATTCCTGTGAGCCACTAAACTTTTTAAGTTATAATGCTTTAAATGAATTTTCTGATACAAGTACAATTACTTAACTACATTTGAATGACGTATATTCAAACGGGCTTAAAGAAGACCATCTCGGGTTGTAACGGAAGATTTGCCTTCCCTATATAAAATGTAAAATACTTAAGCTTATTGCTATCTTGATTGGATAGATCACAGCGTTTGGAGGCTTTGAATGTATTTGTCTATTGCTGTATTAGAATACCCAATCAAAAACTCATTTTTGTATCCAATTGACATGGACTTGGAATATTTTCAATTTATCGTTTGAAAAAAACCTAATTTTTAATCCATATAGATCTATGTTTACATATAGTGTACATAATATGCATAAATGTGGTCAATAAATAAACAAACCTAACGGATTAATATAAGCTTTGGCTTATTTCTGGCTTATTGAATAAATATTGTTTAAATACAAAAAATAAAACAAACCTCTTTAGTCCCTTTATATTCTGTGATGTCAAATAATAAATCTTGTTTGGTAGTTTTATTACCGATAAATTGTAAAGAATCGACAAATCTTAGTACTTCATCCACCCTGTCAAAATAATCTTAAAATACAGCATCCAAATATTCCCATTCAAACATTCTTCCACACAATGTGATATTATCTTAAACTCAACAAAATAAATGAACATTCCAAAAGATATCAGAATTGGTCCAGAAACAATCGTCAGCAAATTTGAAAAAAAAAATGAAATGATTTTTCTGAAATGAAACACCTGATCGGCTGTGGTGAAATTATTTTCAATTTTCGAAATTTAGAAATTAGTTCATTCCAGCTGAATGTGAATGAATAAATCTTCCACGTTGGAGTTCTATAATTATCACTTTCAAGAACATACCTTGTTGCGTGGATTTTCCATGAACGGAAAAACAAGATGAGAAATTTAGTCAACTTCTTAAATCTGTCATTGTTTTGCTGGAAATATAAAAATGTTATAGATATATGCGTGAATGAATTGTAATTTTATTGTTAAAGAATAATGGTATTTATATGGTACATGTATATTTGTACCACCGCGAGTCACAAGCCTAAATTACGTAAAAGTGCTCAGTAGTTACAAAAATGGAAAATAGTTCAAGAAACATGGTATCACCATCTTCTTACCGGTATACCATAAGATTGCTCTAAGTTTATTAAAATCACTCTTTATTAAAGTAAATTATAAAGTGTAACGGTTAATGAAAATTACTCAGAAAATGGTCAATATGTTTACATATAATCGTATACATGACTTTAACTACATCAATTAATGTTTACCTTTTTTCGCTTCCTGCGATTGATTTTTACGGGTTCTGGAGATACAGAGTTGCTGTCATCACCACGACCATGAAGCCAGGATAATGCTCTAGCCTTTGAGGCGAACTTCTTCCGATCAGTAGGTATCGCAGGAAGAATCGAATCAGATTCATCATCAGCACCCGATTCACTGTCGTAACTTGTTTGCCTCTGAAAGGAAGCTAACGTCCTCGCAGTCAAGCTTCCTCGTCTAGAACTGTTGGCCATATACTTCAACACTTTCTTTTCGTCACTCTGTGCCAATTCCTCCTTGGACATGGAATGTTTTGGAGGCAGCTGTACTCCCATTTTGATCAAGGTCTGTAATATCTTGACCTTTCGGAGATCAGTTGTTGATAAACAAGTGTCATCAGTATCTGATGATGAACTACAATAATGCACACTGGCTAGTCTAGAAGCTGGTTGTTTTTGTAATGATCTGTAAGATTGCTGTATATCACGTCTATGACTTGTTAAGGCTGGTAGTGAAGCACTATATTTACTCCTGATGCTTACTTTGAACGATTTCAGTTGACTTCTGTTCATTAAATCCTGTCGTAAAACCGTCATCATACGATTTCTTTTTTTCTTTAATGGAAGTCTGGACACCGTTGGATCTTTGATCGTCTTGTGAAACATGATCAAAGCCAAAACTTTACAATTAATGACTAATCAAACACCTACAATACAAGTTATCTCGATGCTGTTAACACACTTTAGTTATCCATTCAAATATTGATATGTTCACTCTGGTAATCGAGGTACCTGTATATTAAACAGTATAATAAAAACTCAACTAACAGTATATATGATACGTAAACAGACCATGTAATTTCATACTGATTGATTTATATAATCTATATGATCAACTTAACAATAGACCTAAATCTGTTTCAAGCTGTCCACATTAACTATATCCTTTCAAAAAGGGAGCCACTTAATATATCGGATTACATATTTAAAGGGACGCACACCAAACAAAAAGCCTTAACTGCGTTGTTGTGGGATTTGTCACGGAAATCACCAGGAGAAGACAAGCATGTACCTGACCAAATTGTCACATACCTTATCGTATACTGGCGAATTACATGTCAGGCTCTTACAAATTACTCTGCAAGGGGTAGTAGGTTTTAACGCAGTCTGGTAATATTTTTCATAGTTTTATACCTACAAGACATGTTAAATAAAATTCCTGGTTTAATTCAAAGTTAAAATAATGGTATTCATTGAGACTATCGTTGAGACTATCGTGTGACATAAGCTTAGCTGAATGAAATAGGCCTACTCTTGCAATGAGGAATAGAAACAGGAATTCTTTAGAAGACTAAAGAGAAAGAATAGAATATTATTTTGACAAAAATAGAAGCAAGTCATAAAGACAATAGAAATGAAGAAGAAAAGGAGAAGAAATCATGTTAGAGATGTGGATGATCATTTTGCAGATTCTTGCAGATGTTTGAACTGTAAGAAGATAGGTCAGTTTGGATAAAAAGTGTAGAAATAAGAAAATTAGAGCCTTAAATGATGAAGAATACAATCCTGAAAAAGATTTTGTATATTATATTATTTCTGATATGAAAACAGAAATGGTTGTAAATGGAAGAGAAATGAGAATGATAGTTGATACGGGAACTCAACAAAATATTATTGATTCAAGGTCTATTTTAGAAATAGATTTTCTTGGTCATAAAATAACAAAAGATGGTGTAAAACCAGAAACTACTAATACTAATCATTATTGCGAACTTTTGGTTATGTTAGTAAATTTATTCCCGACTATGCTAATTAAGTAGAATCTTTGAGAAATTGACAAGAAAGAAAGCAGTAGGTGTTGGGATCCTGAATGTGAAAAAGCTGCAGAGAAATTGAAAATAGCATTTACATAGAACCTTGCTTAGTTTATCATGATCCAGTTTGATAACAGATGGAAGGTAATTTAGAATTGGTGGAATTTTACAACAGAAACGTTTGGTACTACTAAACCTTTCGCTTACGCTAGTAGATCGTTATCTGAGTAGAAAGAAGATATTCGCAGATTGAACGAGAAGCGCTTGGATGTGTCTGCGATTTGGAACATTCTAATATATATCTGTAAATGAAAATGAAATGAATGGAGCTTTACGTCCTATTTTCTGCACCATGTGAGCTAATGAAGATGGGTAATGCCATGTAGGGTGCAGGGAGGGAGATTTTGCCAGAACATTGGCATTGGCCTGCTCTTTTTCGATTTCCAACTATCTAGGGATCTTTAACGTGCACATCCTGTAGCACATGGGGCTTCGGTCAGCCCCTCTTACCTGCATCACTGTCAGGGGAAAACCGGGTTGAAAAATCCGAAGGTATTATCTCGACCTATGCAGGGATTGAACCCTAGACCTTCAGGTTAGCGAGCAAGCGTCTAACTCACTGAGCCACCGCGGCTCCTAATACACTTTTGGGGACGACTTTAATAACAGATCATAAACCGTTAATCGATATGTTTAAATCGACCGCATCAATTTTATTATTCCCCAGAATTCAAAGACTTCTAGGGCCTAGTGGAGATTATTACCTCCAATAATTACAATTGTATATTAGTGGAAAAAAGATAGCCTAGTTGATAGTTTGTTACCGGAAAATGTAAAAGAATCTCATTGTTTAACAGAAGACTATATATATCAGAAAAGTTTTGTATTTGAGTACTAAAAACTTAAATGCATTGAATTTGTACAGAAATATTGTATAGAAAAGTGAAATTAGAAGACAAAATTCTTACAAAAGTAATGAAGAAATTAGACAATTTTGATTGGAAAAGAGAGGACGATAAAGAATTAATGCCTTATTTTAGAATATGGAACGAGCTTTCTCATTGTAAAAATTTATTGTTAAGAGGCAATAGAATTGTCAGGCCTTTTACTTTACAAAATCAAATATTAAATTTGGCATCACGGAATTGTCAGAAGTAACCAATTTTTAAGAGAACGTTTCTTTTGGTTTTACATAGATAAGCAAGTTAAGTCGAAACCTTGATAAAATTTTGAGACGCGTGTGTTCATCAAGCATTGATTAATTGTACTCCGTAAACTCAAGTTGAATTGCCTAAGAAACTATGCTCTAAAGTAGGTGTATAGATTTAGTTGGTCCTATGAATGGCGCGAACATATTATATATTTACTTTAATTGATTAGCCTACTATATGTTATCCTTTAGCTTTTATTATTAAGGATATTTCATCTAGAAATATTATAAAATGTTTAGAACAAGTGTTTCTAGATTTGGTTATGTTGATTGTTTAGTAGCCTAAGTGATAATGATAAATCTTTTGTAAGTGAAGAATTAGAATATTAAATCATGTGATATACAGCATACGATTGTGTTAGGATATTTCCTACTCTACAAATGAAACCGCTGCTAAATTGTTATTGTCTAGAGATATCAAAACTAAAATTCCTTTAATCCCGCTCAAGAAAGAAGACAATTCAACACTCAGCTTTACGGAAACTGCCGATGATTTCCGAATAACACATCTAATTGTTGTCTGATGAATAATGAGAGTTATGTCCCAGACCGTCATTGTAGAACTCGTGTTATCTACTGGTTTTGTGTTCTACAAAGTCATGTTTCCAAATAATAGTTTCTTTATTGAATTGTAGACATTTCATCCGAGAGTTAGCGGCACTGTTGCTGTTACATAAGTGAAGTATCGCCCCGATTTGTTTTGATCCTATTTCTAAGAATAATAAATTTATTTTGTCACTTATTTAGGTTTTATGGCAGTGACTATTTACCACGTCCTAACAATATTTAGCCCACTATTGCGTGCCAAATAAGTATAATAAGTCAGTTTACCAATTAATAAGTAGCCCTACTAACAGATCAATATTCATAACAAAAAACGAAATGTTCTTTTTAAAGTTCAATCATAACTTTTCAGTCAAATATCTGCCACTTTTTTGAAACATTTACATAACATAGACTAGTATAGACTAGTACATAGAGTCAGACTGTATTTACTGTTTTACTTTTTTTTTATTATATCTCAATTTCATATCTCAGAACATTCATTTTCAAACTTCAAAGTATATATGATCCAATATGTACTTAACATATTTTGAATCCTTTAGAGATGAGACCCCATGGTACCTTCATGATTTCTTGTGCTCATCAAGTATGCAAAAGATCAAACAATTTATTTTCAAGAAGTTATGAGTTACCTCCCTTGCCCAAAGAAACTAAATGATATGCCTAGCGGCATAGCTTACCAACAAATTTGGACGGACTTTGAAGTTTTAGCGCTGTGCAGATGACATTGAGATGATTGTTCTCAATTTTTTTAAAAGGTTTTTTGGATACCTAACAAGGTTCTCTAAACGTCCTTTTTTTAATTTTGACTTTGCGTAATTTCCTGTCAAATTTTTTTCGGACAGGCCACTTTTTATACGACCACATCAATATGTGGTCGTATATTGTCGTTGTCCATCGTCGGTCTGTCAGTCAACATTTCTTGTGAGCACTATAGAGACTACAGTTTTCATCTGATTTTGATAAGACTTGGTGTGATGCTTAAGGTTGACAAGATCTTGGTCAAGTTGGAATTTGACTTATTTTCGATGAACGATATTTGAGTTATTGCCCTTGACTTTGTAAAAACTCATTGAAATTTGTTGAAAATAATTTGTGAGCAGGATTGAAGCTACAGTTTTCAGCTTTCAACTGATTCTGATGAAACTTGGTGTGATCATAGGAATTGATAAGATCTTTGACAAGTTTTAACTTGATGCAGTATCATATGAATGGTTTTTGAGTTATTGTCCCTGACTTTGTAAAAACGCGTCAAAATTTGTTCGTGAGAACAATAGAAGCTACAGTTTTCAACCGATTCTGATGACTCTTTTTTTGATCATAGGAATTGATAAGATCTCGGACAAGTTTTAACTTGACTCATTTTCTATGAACCGATTTTGAGTTATTGCCCTTGACTTTGTAAAAACAATTCAAAATGTTTTTGTGAGCACAATAGAAGCTATAGTTCTCAACCAATTTTGTAAAACTTGGTGTGATTATTGGAATTGAAAGTTCTAACTTGACATATTTTTGATGAACGGTTTTTGAGTTATTGCCATTGGCTTAGGAAAAACTCGTCAAAATTTGTTTGTGAACAAAAAAGTTTTCATCCGATTTGAATGAAATTGGTGTGAGGATTTATATTCATGAGATCTTGGTCAAGTTCGAATTTGACAATAGAGACTACAGTTTTCTACTGATTTTAATGAAATTTGGTGTGATCATTTATATTTATGAGATTGTGGGCAAGTTTGAACTTGATGATTTTTCAATGAATGGTTTTTGAGTTATATTTGGGTTATTGATAATGATTTTAGAAAATTTTGTGAAATTTTGTGGAATTTCTCAGCATAAATAACTAACATATATATATATATATAATTGAATTCAAACTAATAAAGTTTCTTCAATATGAGAAAATTCGTACTTTAGTCACTAAGGACTGTTTTATCATTTCTAACAGTGGGCGTATATTGTTACCTTGCCTTGCCAGCTATCTTCAATTGTTGAAAAACTTTTCACCCTGATCTTCCACAACCTTCATCTTTCAACTTTTTAACCATCTTCTTGCTAGATTGTCATATGTGATACCTCGACTTTTTAATTTTCGTACATCATTTTTTTTGTTTTTTATACAGCTATAAATTTGGGTAATTTGCATAAATAAATATTGAAAAAAATCAAACAGATTCATATTGTGTAAATAAATATATCATGTAATAAGCTTAATCAAAATTTGGGAGAAAGATTTGAAAGAAAAGCTTATTTAGACAAGATGAAAAGAAGTTAAACAGGTCAGCAGGCCATGATAACCGATAAACTTAGCTAAACAATTTTGACAAGTTATTTTTTGTGTTTTATATATTCAGGCTTAGTTTACTGCTAGAAAAAAAGACATGAATTCAAGGTTTTTAATACAGAGTGAGAAACTTTTCTCCAAATTTTCCAGTGCACGATCATTCTTTTACATTAATTCAAAAAGTCTTTATTATGCTGCTCACCCATATCCTAATGGTACTATTAAAAAATTGATGAAGTTTCTCAAAGACAATAAAGAAGAGCTAGATTACGTCCCACCACTTCCAAAAACTTCAGAAGAACTCAACAGAATTAGTGATGAAGTAATTCTCAACTTGACTGTAGAAGAAGAGAAGAAATTAAAATTTATTAAATGGGAATATGAGCTTTTGAAGGAAAGTTCTCCATATAGGGTATGTATGATATGATATTATGGTCACCATGTTATGATTATTACAATTTCCAGTAGATTATCTAAAGTCAAGCGCAAAGGCTAAGCATTTATGCCAATTTGTTTTTATCTCTTAATTCAATTTCATACATTTATATTTTCATAATGAGAAGTGGCTAACATTCAAGAAAATTATAAGATAACATATTCTTTTTTATACAGCCACATGAAATATATTGGTGTCATCCGTATCTGTCTGTCCACATGTGCTGTAGAAGGTTTTTTAGGATTTTGACAAAACTTGGTGTGAGTACATGTATTTGTAATCAACCAAGGATGACCTCTATTAAAAATCAGAAAAACCAAAATAATTTGTGTATGGGTTGCTGTTACTGCTCTTGTTCTTGAAAACGCATTCAACTTTTAGCTAGTAAACACCTGAGAAGTCATAATTCTTGACAGATTTTGATGAAACCTGGTTTTAGTGTTTATAATAATATGAACCCTATTGACAATTAAAAAGAAAGCGAAATATATCTAATATGAGTTATTGCCCATGTTCTTCAATTTTAAGCTTGTAAACACTCTTGAAGGCACAATTCCTGATGGATTTAGATGACACGTGGTGAAATTGTTTATTAATCCTCAAAGGATGAACCTATTGAAAATAAATAAAAAAAAAAAGAAAATAATGTATAAAATCAAAACTGCCAGTGGACGTACATTACATTGCCTGGCAAACATTGAACATGTCACCATTAGACCAAGTTGGACATAAAACTCCATTACATTCTATTTGAATAGACAGATAATTATTGCACTTATCCCCAAATAATTCTATATCTGCCCTAGTTTTTCGGCACAAAATGTACCCAAAAAGGAAATTCTTAAGTGAATTTAAATAAGTTAAATAACTTGAAATTGGTATGCTAAAAAAATAGAATTAGGTAGTTTGCAACCATTTTGAAATTAAATGCCATTGTGATTTTGAATATTGAATATACAATGTCTCCTTTAGTTTTAATGTGCTGTTTATAAAATTTGGTATGTAGTTAGGGCCAGGCAATATACCGGTATCATGATAAATACCTGTACCGGTCTAGGAATTTATATCGTTAATAATATCGCCTGATTAAAAAATACCGAAATTTTCGCCATATCGTGATACATGGTAATTATCATGATATACAGTAACATTTTTGTGGAAATAGGATCATCTACATAATTTTAACAAGTAACTTGATATTTGAAACAGATGTTTTTTTCATGGTGTTATAGAACAAGGTTTTTTTTTTAGAGATGTTTAAAATTTCTAGATCATAATTTTGTTTCAAAAACCAGTAAAAAACTAGAGCCACACGTGGCACAGAGTGGGACTTTGCAAATGTAGTAATTTGCTAAAGAACCCTAAAAAATCAACCATCGACGATAATTAGGTCATTCAAGAACAGTCTAAAGTTGATAATTTTTTATTTGTTAGAAGATTCTAATACCGGAAGTAGATGCCAGATATCACAAATAAAAGTATCAGCAGATAGCCAAGGTCAATGACCTTTGATCTTGTAAAGGAGAAGGTCTAAAAAGGTCAAGATCAAGAGATATACGTCATCAAAATTTCAAATTGCACACGACTATAAAACCGGAAGTTGACATAGGACAGCAAATATAAAAGTATAAATAGATATGCAATGCCAATGACGTTTGATCCTACAAAGGTCAAGGTCAGAAAAGGTCAAGGTCAAAAATTTAAAATTTTGAATTTCTAAAACCTGTTCCTTTTTTTGAACTAAGAAGTGGAAACAACCGAAATTCTAAGGCAAAGTGGCTCAAAATATGATGTAATTGTATGCAAAGTTCCATGTTGAACAAATGTATACTTTGGTAGTTATGCCCTTGCCAAAAATGTCAAAGAGTAATTTAACCCGGATGTGCCACGCCCACCTCAATTTTTTTTGCATAGGTTAATTGATATTCAAAATGTTACACATTATGTTCCAAATGTCAAGCTCCTACATAATACAGGTCAAAAGATATAGGTCAACAAAAGTCAACAAAGGTCAAAATCGAAAAATGAAAATATCCAAATGTAAAAAAACCCATTCCTTTTTTGGAACTATAAAGCTGAAACAACTGAGCTGTTAACACAAACTGGCCAAAAGGATGAGGTAATTGTGTGCAAAGGCCCTTTGCGAGTTATGCCCCTGCCTCTAAATGTAAACAATTAGTAATTCAACCCGGATGTGCCACGCCCATATAAGTTTTTTTGTCATAGGTGAATTCATATTCAAAGTGTCTAGTTGTATTCCAAATATCAAGGTTCTACATAAAATAGGTCATAAGATATACATACACCAAGATCAAAATAACACAAATATGGTAAAACAAAACTCAAATTTGAAAAAATCAATTTTACTTTAAAAAAACGATTGTTCTATATCTGTGTAAAGTGCATGAAAAGCACATTAGGAAATCGAAAAAATTGACCCTCTAGGTTAATTAGGTCACGTGCTAGAGTAGTCCAAAGTTGCGAATTTGGCTTTTTACGGATAGCTATAAAACTGGAAGTACAAGGTCAAGGTATCAAATGATAGCCATGGTCAATGACCTTTGACCTTATAAAAATTCAACCGAAAGTTGCAAAAAAGCAAAAGCGAAATTCAAAATTCGGCTGGCAACGTTTTTTGCGCAATCGTTTGCAGAATACATACACATAAAATTTGAGCATATCAACATTTACCCTGAGGCTCCATTTTGAGTTTTACAAAAGTTTGTTTTTTCAATATGGCGGCAGAAGTATCACTTCCGGTCTGGATTTTATTTTAAAATCGGCCATAGAATTTTATTTGCTTAAGATCAGCTAAATTTTGTTGACCTACATAAATAACACCAGAAATTATTCAACTGGAAGTAGATTTTAAATTCAGTCGCTTTCCTGTTAAAACTGGAAATGACATACAAAATTTGACTGTACCATATTATCTACATTAGTGAAGTCTCTTAATATCGTGATATGAACTTGAACTGATATCGCCCAGCCCTATATGTAGTTCTATGATAGTAAAAAAGAGGATCAAGTGAGAATCTTAAGCAGTATGTTACAGTTGCATATCATACAGTAGTAGTGGGTATAATAGGTCTAGTAGGGTTATACAATGCTGTACTCAGAAGCAAGGGGATAGGGTTTTACTTTATGTTAATAATTCTTTTTTTTTTGTTTGATTAAGGTACCAGAAGATGTTAACAGTTCTGACTGGATGAAATTATTAGAAAAAGAAAGTACCACCCAACGAAGAAACTTTTTGAAGTCTCTGAGATTGAAAGAAAAAGCAAAAAATGCAGAGAAAGAGAAAAAAACAAATACAGAAAGAACTGTTCGGCCATCACAACTGCCAGTGTTTCAATCTAAACTATTTTTGTGGTTGCATAACTCTACTATTAATACAGGCTTTAATGAAAGAATTTGTGAATCTTTAATGAATGGTCCTCATTGTGTGGTTGATATGGGTTTTGAAAATCTTATGGAAGAACGAGAGGTGAAGAACACAATATCACAACTAATTAATGCTTGTTCTCATAATAAACACTGTGCTGAGCCATTTCATTTAACATTTACTGATTTGGAAAAAGACAAATATTCTCATATTCAACTTTCACATTACCTTCCAAAATGTTATATTAAAACTGAAGCTAATTTTATGGATATTTTTCCATCTGAAAATCTCATATATCTCACACCAGATTCTCCTAATGAAATGAAGGTTTACGATCCAGAAGCAATATATATTATTGGTGGTATGGTTGATCTCAGTTCACGAGGTGCTGTAACTTTAGCTAAAGCCAAAAAGTTACAAATAAGAACTGCAAGATTTCCAATTGATCGCTATTTATTGTAAGTATATACAAAGTGACCTTTTAAAAGTGTCTACATTACATTGAGTCACTTCTTGATGCATGATGAAAGCTACATTTTCTTCCAATTTGGATAAATTATTATACTTGTCTTAAGCACTCTAGAAACTAGCATTTTCATCTGATTTGAATAAAACTTGACTACAATTTATATTGATGATTATACATATTGATGATTTCTTAGTCAAGTTGGAAATTGGCAATTATTGAATGAATGATTTCAGAGGTATTGCCCTTTACCTAGAAAAAAATGCTTCAAATTTGGCTTGTAGAAAAAAATTAATGAAATCTTGGTGAAATTAAAATAAGTAATAATTGAAAGAGTAACAATTGAAAAAATGGTTTTTTTTTTAACCCCTGGCAAATTGGTATGTAAATGATCTTAACTTATTACAATTGTAGACTTCAGAGCAGTGTGATTTTGATCATTTGAAAGAATATTGACACAATTTCAGTATGATTTAACTTGTAGATGAGATATTAATACTTGCAAAACTACAAATACTTCATGAGGTTCTTTAATATGAGAACATTTATACATAGGTATTGGTAATGAAAACACTGTGATCATTTCTAACAGCTTCCATGGATATATGTTATCCTGCTTGGCAAGCAGTGCAATCCTTCCAAACAGTAATCTTTTTAGATAAGTCCCAAACAAATCACTCTATAATCTACAGAAGGAAACCCTTGTCATCTATTTCTTCCCTGTGATGTTCAGTTTTTATGATATATTTCAGATGGGAGAAAGGCAGTAAATATTTAACATTAAATCAAGTATTTAGTATTTTACATACTATCAAAGATAGTGGTGATTGGCTTCAAGCATTTAGACACATACCTCAAAGAAAATTAAAAAAACCTGTTTTAGATTGAAGAAGATTGAAATAAATAAATTTTGAACACTTCCATTTTACTTTTTGTACAAAAGGGAATGATGCTATAGAAACCAGAAATGCCCCTCATATGCAAAATCGTGGAAATTATGGTAGGCTGAATGACATGAACATGAAACTCGGCCCTGGATAGTGTGGCGTGAGTTACTCCATCTGCTTCATTCTTCTAAACTCGTTCTGATCATGGCAATTCTTGTTGATTGGTAGTCACTTAGGCTGCGGCCACTTAAATTGGATTTGTGTCACATTAATCAAATAACCTAAATGTTATGCATACCCCACATCCTATTCCCCAAGACTGATAGAGATGAGACTTCATGAAACTATATTCACGGCTTGTTGCCCCCTTCCAAATTACACTTAGACGGAAGTGGGTCAACCGGAAGCTAGAACCTTGATTTCGCACCAACCGGAAGTGATGTCAAATTTTTGATGAAGGCAATTTGTTGTCTGTTGTAATCTGTTTTGGCGCCAGAAATTTCAAATCAATCGGATGCATAGCCGAGAAAATAGAAAATTTGGTCAAATTTTGCGAATTTGGCTAAAAAATGCGTGCTATGAATTTTCAAAATTCCAATTTTTTAACTGCTATCACATAGGATATTCGTGCGAAATACTGAAACTGAAAACCAGAGCAAAACCGCCCCAAAATTGCGCCTTCTATAGTCAATTATCTACTTTTTGCACATTTTGCAATGTGCCACTATCCGTTTTGCAAAATTGTTCCAATTTATATTCATTAAAACACCGAATATGCAGATCCAATGCATTCCTAATCTTGCTGTAACTATTACCGTTTCTGCAGAGTAGGCTACTCGACACAAACTCATACTTGTTTTGAAATTACGAAAACAAAGCAGGGATATTCATTAGTTAAAACACCGAATATGCAGATCTAATGCCTTGCTAATTCTTCGAACGCCCTGCAATTATTAACACTAGACATTCCGACAGCTTGTTCAATATTACACTACCGAAGGGGGGACACTCATAGGCCATGTTGATATCATTAAAGATATTCCTTCACATAATGTTAAAATTTCACACATACTTGTTTATTATAGCTACAACGGCTATACAAATAACTATAAGATTACGTTATATTAGATAAAAATAAATATATCCTTAAGATTTGATAAAACTGTTTATTTTCCTCGCCCGTTTACTAAAAGCGACTGAGGGAACGCCAGGCTTTAGGAGACCTAAAGTACACAAAGTCTTTAAGCTAGGTATGAGAAAAGGTATTATATACTTGATTTATTTACCTCATACCTTGGAGTTGTAATTCCTTGTTCAAAAATTGTAGGCTTAAAAGCACCGGAGCTAACAAGCTAAAAGTATCAAAAGGCACAAAAGCCATCGTTTGAGGCCTCGTTGCCACGCTCAGAGCTGTTCACAGTTCTAGTACTGGCTTAGCTACTGGTCTACTTCGAGTTCCCTCTAATGCCATTTTAATTTCTATCGACGTTTCTTCTATGTATACCAATATCGATAACACTACTGGTTTAACGGCAGTTCGTAAAGCTTTTAATAGAAACCCAGATCCAAACAGACCCGACGATGCAATTCTACAGCTTTGAGAGATTTGTCTTAGTCGAAACGATTTCCCATTTAATGGTAAAACATATTTACAAACTTCAGGGACAGCAATGGGCAAACGATTCGCCCCTTCGTACGCAAACCTTTTCATGGCAGAGTGGGAACGTGAGGTGTTGCCCCTCTGTCCATTTGACCCACTTTTTTACGGACGCTTTTTGGATGACATTTTTATGGTTTGGACTTATTCTATCGAACAGTTTTGGGAATTCTTTGAAATTCTCAACAACCACCATCCTTCTATCAAACAAACCGCAAACGTGAGTGACAAAAGCATAGACTTTCTCGATACCACAGTCTTTAAGGGAGATTCCATAGCAGAAACAAATAAACTGGATATTAAAGTGTATTTCAAAGAAACTGATACTCATCAACTCTTGCACAAGAGCTCCTTTCACCCAAAACATACCTTTTCTGGTATAATTAAGTCACAAGTTTTACGATTTCATCGAATTTGTACAAGATCTTCTGATTTCAACCAAGCCTGTACGATTGTTTTCTCAAAACTGAAAGAGCGTGGGTACTCTAAACGATTTTTACGAAACATAAAAAATTCCACCTTAGCACAGATAGCAGCTAAAAACAGACTTTATGCCGAAGTACCTACAGGTTTAAGAAGTGCTCCATGTTTGTCCAGTAGATGCAAAACATGTCCCTTTATATCAGAAACTCATTATTTTGTAAGCAACTCTACGAATAAAAGGTACCCGATCCAGGAACATCTAACATGTGAACATTCGAATGTAATATATTTAATTTCATGCAAGAAATGCCCCAAACAATATGTAGGAGAAACTAAGAATAATTTACGAACTCGCTTTAATGCTCATAGGTCAGACATCAAACTAAAGAAAGACAAGCCTGTTTCTAATCATTTCAACCTCGACGACCATTCAATAGACGATCTCACCCTAATCCCAATTGAGCGTATAGAAATTGACTTGCCCGAAGATGAAACTACCAAATTCCGTCAATCTAGGGAGGCCCATTGGATTGAGACATTGAATACAGCAAGACCTATAGGACTAAATATTCATCATAATGTAGGCATAGCACCCTTTGTTGTCCCGTTTAATACAACCAGCAATCGAGCAAGCAAGATAGTTCATGCCCACTATAAGAGCCTTCAAGAGAAATTCCCCCATGTCTATAAGCAGAAAATGATAGTTGCATATTCAAAAAATAAGAACTTAAATGATAATATTGTTCATAGTAAACTAAAAACAATTAGTACTTAACAGATACTATACTTCTCGCCCGTCGGGCGAGTTATTTTTTCTAATTTCAGATCAGAATAAGAATATCAATATCAAGACCCTTAATCCTAATTTCTAAATAAAGTGTCTGCTCCACCCTAGGCCTGTACATTTGGGAGAATCAAACCCTCCCTTCCCCGAAATATAACCTATGATTGATAAAAAAAAAAACGCCCATCTGTTTCCATTGTTCCCATTTCTGACAAATCAAAAATATTAATTTATTACGCTTTTGTCCAAAAATATCGGACAGAATGAAATATTTCCATTTTCTCTTGGGGGAGAACCCTTTCAGATGCTCCATGGGAGGCTTGAGCGTATGGAGTTTCCTTAGAGTTGCTGTATTAGTCTGAGAGGGTTCTCCCCCAAGAGAAAATTGAAATATTTATCTTTGGCCATATTTTTTTAATTCAGCCTCGACCGTTGGTCTCCCTTTGAGTTGGCCTTATTATGCCCACAGTCTCGGGAGTTTAACGCCGCCATGGCTGAATATTGTGGAATATACTGCACGGACACAGGCAATAGTGAATTTTTTTTTCAAATGTCAATAAAACAAAAGATAATTGTCAGAAAACAACCACATTTGGCACAAAGGATTGTTTGAGTGTCTTCCAAGTTATTGCTTTGACATATCAAGGTTCTGATCACATGTTATTTACAGATAGAGGCTGAAGATCGGTATCTAGTGTGCCCACTTTGTGCGTTGATAACAGCCCGGCATCTCTGTACATGGAGTGGCGCAAACGATTTACAGAGGCTATTGGAATTTGCGCCCAGACTTTTGGGCATTTTTTTAGAAGCGGTTGGATATGGTTTAGCTTCCTTAGATGTCATCTCACAAGTGTTCTATTGTGTTAAAGTCAGGACTGAGTGAGGGCCATAGCATTACTCTGATGTAATGCTGTTGGAAGGTTTTTGTGCCTATTGTGGACAGGCGTTGTCGTGCTGGACGATGTGGTTTCGGCTTCTTGCAAAATGCGGTACAATGTGGGGTCGGATAATCTGGTCGATATATCTTGCACCTGTATGGACGGATGGACGGCGAAAAGACACGCGAGTTGATTTCGAACGGTATCAGCACTGATGGGTTGCTGATTGTGGCCAATAGTCTGACGAGCTGTCTATGTCGCTGAATCTGTCATGCAGATATTGCTGCAGGATATAGCGATCTTGTTAAGGTGTTGACTCAGGAACGACCACTCCGTGAACAGTCATCAGTGGTGTTGGTGGTGTTTCTCTATGGTTCGTACACTACAGTTTAATGCATTGGCAATGACTTGTCACGGCATTTAATTGTCTGATGGCTTGTTCACGTTGTTGGAGGTTAGACGTGCCACGAGCTCACTGTCTTCACAACAACTGAGTTCTCGGTAGGCATCAGTGTGATTTTATACAGAACTCGTGTTGCACGTGCATTTCGGACACCATGATGCCTTTGACCTCTAGCTGTAATAATATGGCCTTTGGAAGTCGCATTTTGGTCTTTATCTTTGCTACCATTGAACTAATATGCTATAATAGCAGGAGAAACGAACAGGATCCGATGACAGCTACAAGTATAATTCCTCCTTTGTTAGATGGGGAACATAAACACTAATCACATCACGAAAACTTACACTCCTTCCTGAAACTGGCCTACCCTTTCTTCTAAATATATTACTTAATCCTCACCCTCATCACAGCCCAATCTGAAATATTTTGGTTATATCCATCACATTAAAAAAGTCATTGTCTGAGCCAAGTAAAAAGTTTTTTGAATATTTCCCATTATTTTATGAGAATTGGAATAGCAGCTTCAAAATACTACTGTCAGTCTTAGAATGTCTTTGCGTTGATAAAAAATATTAGCATAAGCACACATTAGGTCTTCAAAATTTGTTTTTATAGAGGACAATTTTCCAAAATTTGAATGTGTATCAGGGACACTGATAGCATCAATTTGTACCATTCCAATTTTATATCCCCGATAGTGCCTACATTATTGAAAACGTCTTTACAATCTCTTTAATAAGCTTCAATTAGTACTTCAAACTTCAACTGTTATCTTCAAGCTTCAACTGTTACTGTACCGGTAATTGATGTCATATAATTTTACAACCCAAAA